TACTTTATTTACGACAAATTAATTTATTTGAGATTTTTAATAGCAAATTTCATCCATCTCAATACAAATCCACAAGCACTATACGTTTGACACTGACAGTTTTGTGGAATAATGACCATTAATCCCGCTACTCGTCATTATTCCCTGCGGGTGACATTAGTCGGAAATAAAATATTTTTAACTCACTCTCGGTCTTTTAAGTCACTCTGCCAGTATAAAAAAATGCTAGAAATACAAACAAACAACTAGTTATACCCTAGCAACCACCAATTTCAATAATTAGCGCTTTCATAACCACTAAATGAATTCTCTTTATAATTTGATTCCTTTTAAATACCTTATTTTTTAAATTTCCATGAAAATGGGATAAAATTTTGTATACATCATGTGAGTTAAAAAAATGTTTATTCATTCGAAGAAAATTAACCCACTCGCTAGGGCTCGTGGGTTAAACTTTCTTCTCATGAATAAACATTCATTTAACTCACTTGGTGTATAAATAACTATTTTCTTCTACTTTTGGCAACAATGTTCGCGCACCGCAATATGTCGTCCAAACAAAAGGTCGATTCAAGCTCGGAGAACTTAGATCAAAACACGGAACGCGTGGTGAAATGAGCGAAGTGATGTAAAAATAAAAATCATTTTCAGTTAAATCAGATCAGTTTTTTCAGTTCGATTAGATCGAAAAAATTATTTTAAAAAATCCATATTTGTCGAACATTTGATAACACATAAACAAAAGGTTTGTGCGCCTCTTGGCTCGGCCTCTTGGCGAACATTTTAAGTTTCGCAGCATCTTGGATAATCTAAATAATAGTTAATGAAAAAATTCCGTTCGTGTGTAGAATATTTATTGTTCTAAAGCAGTTTTCACTTGAACTGGTGACGCCACAAACCTGAAATATCTTGCGCTCAGTTCAAGTTAGTGCGACACAAGCAAAAAATTTGATCTATCGAATTTGACGGAGCAAAAAAGAGCGTTCCGTGCGAGATTTGAAACCGTTCTTTTGCTCAAATAGAACACGTGAATCTCGCCGAGAGCAACGCTCTGTTTTAAGCCTAGTACTCACAACTGCAAAATTCGCAATTTTTTGACATTTCTTCGACAATTTGACGTTTGATACACGCATAAAACGTCAAATTGTCAACGTAATGTCAAAAAAATGCGAATTTCGCAGTTATGAGTACTAGGCTTTAGGGTGGATTTTCATGCATCCGTTTGTCCGACGAAAGATGTCCGAAAAACATTATAATCTGACATAATCGTATAAAAATATGTCAAAATAGGAGATTTTTCGGACATATTTCGTCGGACAAACGGATGCATGAAAATCCATCCTTAAGCCGAACATGTGAATCCGTTTCGGATCGCTATTATCAATCAGGTGCAAGCAAAAGTCATGTGTATCCGCATCTTTCCCTAAAAGCATGTAGGATATATAGGCTGTTCATGTGTAGTTGCTACCTGCTCAAAAATCTTTCTCAATAGCGAGTCACCTCCGGGTTGGTTTTAACTCCAGGGTAACCGTGTCCAGTTAACCCGGGGGTGACTCGCTATTGAGAAACCGGCTCATAAGGATAAGGATTAAAAAAATTCCACTAATTTTACGAATGGAAATCGCTATAAAAAAATCTATCGGATCTGCAATGCCAATAGTTGTATTCCTTTCAAGAGTTTGAAACACTCGAGCTACTCGCTCCGGTGTTTAGTAGCCCCCGATTTGCAGTGAATAGATGCGTGGTGCAACAAACACTTTTCGAAAGGAATAAGCGCGTGAAGCTCCGGAGCTGTTCCGGAGCTCCTCCTAGGTGTGAAAGAAATACAACTATTCCGGACGATTCCGAACTCGCCTCATGTGGTTGACGTTGGAATTTGACATCATTCAGTAACGCCGTGTTCCGGATTCAATATCCTTGGTGTTCCGGTCCAGATCGAGAGTTGCGCAGCGCAGAACCGAGACGATTTGTTCCACAATAGTTGTATTCCTTTCAAAAGCTTGAAACACTAAACGCTTAAAATTGCATAATAAATTTTAAATTTTTAAATTTTATGTTAAATTACATAGTATTTAAATTGAATTGCTACTCGTTCCGGTGTTAGTGGACCCCGCTTTGAAAAGAACAGATAGGCTGGCTTTGATGCATTTAAATTGTTTGAGTCGGGCTTCAGCACTCAGGTGCAACCAATGAACTATAGCCAAAAACTGGAATGCGCCAGTGATGGTAACATTTTTTTCACGATTTCCCTTTTAAGACAAACAAAATTCCCTAATTTTCCCTACCAACCAGAAGAAAAAATCTCTACAATTTCCCCACGTTTTATTTTATATTAGGTTGGCTCATCTTTACACGTTATTCGTTTTCCTGTTTCAAGTTAGGACATAAAAAAAAGAAGTATTCTTACGTAATGTGGGTGGCCCAAATGCAAACGCAAACAGATAAAGTAGGGATGTCTCCTAGTCACAGATCAATCGACAAGGCCTGCGAGTGACGTCACCACTATTAGCAGCATAGCAGCTTATAGTGGTGACGTCACTCGCAGGCCTCAATGGGATGTTTGTGATTCAGGTTGTGCTTGTTTTTTCTTAGATTTTAAATGTAGATAAGGCGATTTTAACAAAATTATGACTCTTAGGAATTCGTTTTTTTTTTTACCTATACTGTTTTAAACTCGGGTATAGCAGTCCTATTAGATTAGTGTTCTTGTCCTAGTCCTAACAGTCTTTTCTCGTGAGCAGTTAGATCGATAATCGGAATTTGTATTTGTTGACAAAATATTTCTTCGTTCTTTATTATACAATATACGACCAATCTCTGAATTTCCCTACATTTTTCCAATTCTCGAATTTCTGTCCCTCTTCCCTACACCAGAAAAAAAAAACATCAAATTTTCCCTACTTGTAGGGAAATTCCCTACGTGTTACCATCACTGGAATGCGCGCACATTGCCATATCTGCCCAAAAAATGGGGATCACCCCATTTGTGCTAATGTTCATTTGCTCTACCCACCCGAAGTCGCCTTCGGGCGGGAACGTCGGACGAGCCGAAGTCCGACCGGAGTATGACCCTCATCGAAACGAATGCAGTTGTTGTAGCGCAAATGGGTACAGCGTTGCCGTTCCCTCTCCATCTGGCGGGTATTTAAAATAGAAAATAGAATTCTATTTCGATATTTTTCAAGTATTGAGTGGGTGTGGTGTTTTGTTTACTTTAAAAATGGAAAATTTTAACTTTTAATATTTTATTGGTTAAATATTAATTTATTTTAACCTTCCATCGCGAGTTTTATAACATCATTAGTCACGCTGTATCACAGAGATACATATACTAAATCATTGATAAAAAAATTGAACCATCTGATGAATTTCGGTTTTACAATTTCTATGTATTGATTCGGGTACTCAACAATCAAAGATAGAACATTTTCACTGAGAAAGAGATTCCAGAAGTTGAATTCTATTTTCGCTATCTTAATGTTTCGAGCGCGCTCGGACTGCTCGGAGTTTACCGAGTGTCCGTGCGTTCGTTATTTTGGTCTGAGTTCTCCGAGCATGACTTTACCGTTCGTTTATTCAAAAAGTGTACTCGGTGCACCCTCATTCGCGTTCGTTTATTAAAATTTCTGGCACTTTTATTTAGCGTTCAACTGCTCTGTTCCCTCGCTGGTCACGTGATTACGGCTCCGCTCAGCACGCTCTGCTCTTCGAGCAAAATACCGAACGCAAGGTGTAAAGCCACTGTGTGCAGAAGCTAGTTTCTGGATAGGAATTAGCAAATAAGCTATCCAAGTGCTCCTAAATAGTCGAAGAAGAACAGTCATTCAGATTTTTTTCATTACCAGGAATCACCTTTTCTACATTTAAAATCGATGAAGAAACAAGCACAACCTGAATCGCAAGCATCCCATCGAGGCTTGCGGGTGACGTCACCACTATAAGAGGCTATGCTGCTAATAGTACTAACGTCACTCGCAGGCCTTGCCGACTCGAGAATTGGCGAACGTACGCCTTATAAGGAAAAGCAATCCTATAGTTTATGATTCTTGCTATGCAAGTGTTTCCAAATAGTCAAAAAAAATTTGATCAGTTAATCATTAAACTAAATAGAGATTTTTTCTCATTATTAGGAAATGGAAATTGTTGGCTTCACGTTTAACTAGTTGGTGGTTAAAAGCTAAATTTTTTCTGGATAGGACATAGGTGCTCAAGTGCTCCTAAATAGTCAAAGAAAAACATGAATTAGTTATATTATTTGAATTATAGATTTTTTTTGTATTATTATAGGGAACTGAACTACTGGCCTTACGTTTACTTGGGGGTGTAAATATTTGCAGCGAAACTGATAACACTGATAACAGTGGCTATAATGTTGTAATAATTGGAATTAGGTGCTATCTTAGTGCTCCTGAATAGTCGAAGAAAAACTTGAACTATCTAAAACTTCAACTTTTTGGGAGCACTTAAATAGCACCAAATTCCAATACAACATTTTAGTCGCAGTTTTCAGATTCGCTGCAATGCAAATACATCCCCAAGTAAATGTAAAGCCAGCAATTCCTTAATGAAAAAAAAATTTGTACTTCAGTTTAATAATTAACTGATTCAAGTTTTTCTTCAAATATTGAGAAGCACTTAAATAGCACTAATTCCTATCCATAAACATTTTAGCTCTGACACACCACCAACTGAACGTGAAGCCAATAATTTGCCAATATTGAAAAAAAACTGTAATTCAGTTAATAATTAACAGATTCAAGTGTTTCTTTGACAATTTAGGAGCACTTAAATAGTAGGTAGGTACCTAAATTCAATCCAAAAACATTTCAGCCTTTAACGGTTTAACGGCCAATTTCATGATAGAGAATTAAAAGTTACTTTAGCTAAATAGACTTTTAGGATGGGATTTTTCTACTTCAAATGGACCTTTATATTTAAAGTTTACTTTAAGTTGATTATGAAATTGGCTGTAAGCCTCTAACACACCCCCAATAAGTAAACGTGAATCCAGGAATTTCCTAATATTGAAAAAAAATCTGTAATTCAGTTAATAATTAACTGATTCAATTTTTTCTTTGACCAGGTATTTAGGAGAACTTTAAAAAGCATATTATCTAAATTCTGATACCAAAGAAAAATTTAAAAAGATATTTTTCACTACAGGGGACTGCTATATTTCATATTAACCTAGCAATCCCTTCGTTTTTTTCCATATGGGACTGCTAGGTTTATTGACCTAATATTCTGGGAAATCAATAAATAATACAACCCCATATGATTTTAAATCTGGGGAGATACTTTGATAGGTATATGTATTATTGACTTTACATTTATAAATAATTTTACACGTCTGTATAAACTCTACAAGGACTCTACGCTTTAATAAATAAGTATATTATATATTTCTAAAATCTTAACTCTACTGTAGACTGTAGTTAATAAAAATAAAGTCCACAATCATTCACTAAATACAAATACATTTTTTAATTTATTTTTATTATTATCAGCTGATTACACCAGATGTTCCGCGCGCCCGCCGCGTACACAAACCTTCATAAGCTTCAACTACTCTTGCTACTCCTCCGCGATCATGTTAACTGATCCCGATCATAGCCGATCGCGTTCGTGAGTAGACCATTTGCGGATTAGCACAAATGCACAGTAGCACAAATGGAGCCATCTCAAAAAATGAAGCCATGAAAGACAGATGCCACAAGGGGGAATGTTGTTTTTTTCTGTTGCTCGCTGACATATGACGTTTTCGAAAGTTTTGTCATATTTTCCTTCACAGGTTTCATCCAATGAACTTACGTGTTGGAAGCAATTTTCATCATTTAACATAATGAGTGCGACAAAAACAGGTATCGCCTCCGCAGCAGCTGCACTAGGCTTCACGTTCTTCCTTAAGTGTTAGCATTCCAGTTTTTGGTTATAGTTCATTGGGTGCAACCAACAAACACTTTTCGAAAGGAATGAGCGCGTAATGCCCCGGAGCTCCTCCTAGGTGTGAAAGGAATTCAGCTATTTGCTCGGTTTTCTGCAACCGTGAAAAAAAACTTATGTCGTCAGTGTCACTGTCACTTCATATGCCGGATTGGCCGGGAATCGAAATGACGAAATGTGACGGTGACCTTTACATTCGAACTCAAACTCGAGGATATTTCAAATATTTTAATTTTTTTAATCTTAAAGTAGTCAAAGTTCTAGATTCTCTAGAGTTATTTCACAGCACAGACAAGCTCACACTCCTCAGTTTGACTAGATAACTGAATTTCCATTATTTCTAACTCTATCTCCAATCTCCACTATATAAAAATAAAAATACAATTGAACATGATCATACAATCCCTTCCGAAAGCAATACCCAACAAGGCATTAATAAATGCAAGTTATACTGCAATCCGACAAAACTCTAGTATGGTAAGATACTTATTCCAGTCATATGCTACAGTCAGTCCTGTAACAGCAAAAAGCTTCTTAAGATTGCAAATTTCCAGGAGCTAAAAACAGTTGTAAAAGGCCAAACAATAAATTACCTGAAAACTGGCCAAGGGGCGCACAACGTACTATGTTTCCCCGGAGCTCTGGGAACAATTTGGAGTGATTTCAAGCCCCAAATCGAAGGTCTTGATAAAAATAAATTTACTGTGCTTGCATGGGACCCACCAGGGTGTGGATTTAGCAGGCCACCCAATAGGGTTTTTAATACCAAGTTTTACGAAAACGACGCTGATGCTGCTCATGATTTTATGCAGGTTGGATTCCGTTATCTAGTGCAACAAAAGCTTAAATGGGTAGTTATTTTTGTAGGCTATTGGTATAGAAAAGTTTTCTTTATTAGGCTGGAGCGATGGGGGCATCTCGAGCATAATCTTGGCAGCTAAATATCCTAAGATTGTGGATAAACTCGTGGTCTGGGGAGCTAACTGCTATATAATACCAGAAGATATTGAGGCCTTTGAAAGTAAGGCAATAATTTGCAGGAAACAAAAACTTCAATTTCTTTTCTAGAAATTAGAGATATTAGTGAATGGTCTGACAGAATAAAGATTCCTTTAGTAAAATTGTACACAGAGGCAGGTCTACAGAAAATGTGGACTGATTGGTGTGATACTATGCAAGATTTGTATAAAGAGGGTGGTGGTAATATTTGTAAAAACAGTTTGAAAGATATTAATTGTCCCACATTGATTTTGCATGGCAATAAAGACCCAATGGTTGCGCCAGAACATCCACTGTATCTGTTGGACAATATAAAAAATGCCAAGTGAGTTAATTTAAATTATATTCATTTGTGGTGTATTTAATTTTTTTATTTTGGTTTAGAATTCACAGATATCCAGAAGGCAAGCACAACATTCATTTGAAGTATGCCGAGGATTTCAATAAAGTTATTTCAGATTTTATTTTAAATAATTAAGCACCAATAGCAATTCCTTAGTGAGATATTTTTATAAAATTGTTATGTTTTGAATAATTTAAACTTTTTAAAATACTTCTGTACTTCTTCCTTAGGATAAGGTTTCACAGCTAAACACGTAGGTATATTTTCAGGTTGCTCGATCCACATTTTATGTTTAACACTATTCTCTTCCAATTTATTTCTTAAATTTACTATGCTTTGTTCGTCGGGAGCCTCCAAGACAACTTTGTGCATATTGTCCAAGTCCTGTAAATAGAGTTTCGTTTGTTCGTCTTCGTAGAACAAGTGAGTTACAGCAGTAACTGCGTGGCAGGCTTGAGCCAGTACTGCACCAACAGGCCATTTTAGTTCTTTGAGGAGGTCACCTCGGACTACTACGTATTGGACTATCGAGGAGGACATTTTTAGGGCTTATTTTTGTAAAATTCTTAATGTTAGTTTGTTTTTTTCATTGAGAATATTGAGGTAGCTTTTATATACAACCTGCATCACATCACATTTTCAAATTATTTGCTTTTTAAACAAAAACAAGTTGACTGTTGAGGTTATGTTAGGAGAGGTTTTTCAATCGTATCTAGTAGAGTTGCTCTAGTGCAGTCCGAATCGATATTTTGGAACGAGCCAAACGCAGCCACGGGAGTGCACTGTGTGAAGCCAAATAAACCAGTGCAAAAGCAGGGACCCGGACCGAAATGAACCTTGCGTTCGGTATTTTGCTCAAAGAGCAGAGCGTGCTGAGCGGAGCCGTAATCACGTAACAACGAGCGAACAGAGCAGTGGAACGCTGTATCCGATCGCAAGGTTTTTTAATAAACGAACGCGAATGAGCCTGCACCGAGTACACTTTTTAAATAAAAGAACCGTAAATTTAAGCTCGGTGATCTTAGATCAAATTACCGAACGCGTTCCGGTTCCGGTCCACAGCGCCTTGACATAACAAATATATTTGGTTCTATGAGAAATATTTCGATTCGGTTCGTACCAATAATTTCGAACCGCGAACACTGGAAATTCACTTGTGATCCGAGGACGACAAAATCTGCTATTTACACTGAGAACAGAGAACAGTTCCATACCAGTTCAATCCGCGAAAGGTCAGTGTGTAAACCTAACCACAAAAAATATAGACACTCATCAATAAAACATCACAAGTACTTTTTGGTAATAAAAATCCAAATTTTACAATAGTTCACTAAGTTCACAGACATAGAAATTCCTGCCGAGCGATATCATTGCCAATAGTGCTAGAAAGATGCCAGCTTCCATCAAAGACCAAGCCGCTTTCGAAAATGCCATAAAGTAAGTTGAGACCAGATAATTTTATTTTGTCCTATCTTTCCTGATACTTTGCACCCTATATATTATATAAAAACCCTTTTACTCAAATATATTCACTTATTCCATAGATCCCCTGAAGTTTCAGTCATTCATTTCCAAGCAGACTGGGCTGACCAATGCGCTCAAGTTAACGAAGTCCTCGATGCTTTATCCAAACAACCAGATTATGCCAAAATTCACTTCTACACTTGCCCAGCTGAAGAATTGAGCGAAATATCATTGAAATACAACATTGAAGCCGTTCCAACTGTCCTCTTTTTTCAATCCAATCGAAACATAGATAAAGTAGACGGGGCGGATGCCACTAAAATTACTGAAAAAGTTAAATTGTACAGTAACAATGCAACTGTAAGCCTCGAGGACAGGCTGAAGGCTCTTATTAATAAATCCAAAGTAATGCTGTTTATGAAGGGGGATAGAGTTACGCCTAGATGTGGATTTAGTAGGACTATTATTGAAATTTTAAATAATGCAGGGTAAGAAGCAACTTTTATATGTTTTTATTGATATAGGTATCCTAATCTAATTAATTATCGAAATAAGACAAGGTTTTCTTAAAATTAACTACTGGTAATAGATGTTAAATAAAAATTGAAACATGGATATGATAGGCCACTTTCCTGGGTTATTTAATAATAAATCATGTGAATGAAAACATCCTCCCATTGTCTAAAGCCAGTATTCCGGCTTGTTGCCACATTAATAATGCAAAATTTCCATTCAACTAACTGCTAGAATGGATACCATGTTTTTTGTTTTTTCCTATATAATAATGATAATTTCTTTATTTCAACTCATGTAAGATTATACATTTCCTGTACAGTACATAAAACTATATTTCAATTTCAATTTCAATTTCAATTTATTTTCAACAGCAAATTAACAATAATTAATTACAAACCAGATTACAATATTACAAATTACCTACATGCCTACAATAGCAGGAGAGGAAAAAAGCCATAATTATTATCTATTACATCATTATCGTTTTTAATATAATATAATTTGTGTAGAAAAAGAAAAGGACACCTAGATACATATGTATCTGTATGTGTCTTATGGGTTTTAAAATTATAGGACACAAGTTATTATTAATTATATCAACAATGTTCCCAGAAAAAGGAAGAATTGCCCATACTTAGGTACTTATATTAAAAGCTTAAAGACCTAAACCAATTTACAGTACTAATACTAAATCCAATTATAATTATAATTATAGCACTGTCATTGTCAGTGAGAGCATGAGACACCACTATTACAAAAACTTCTTTGGATACAAATCTAATCGGTAAAAATTGTATTAAAATAATTATAAAAGTTTTCATAGATAAACAATTTGCAGGGTTTACTGAACCTCTTCTTGCCTAGGTTTTTTATAGTGGTAGGTAGTATATTATAAAATTTAGGACCAAGAAAGTTACAGCAGTTTTTAAAGAACTCGCTGTTAGGTTTGGGAACTTTGATGGTCTCATTTAAGATTGCTCTTGTTTGATAGTGATGATCTATTGTAATTCCATTAATTTCATCATGGTTTCTTATATAACAGCAAACTGTATGTATATATAAACATCTAATGTTTACAATTTTAGGGTTATATAGCAATAAGGATGGGTACCGAGGTTTTTTCTTGAATATTACTTTTAAGATTTTTTTTTGTATGATATTTAAAGGACTTAATGTAGTTTCATATAGCCCACCCCAAACCAATATACCATATCTTATTACAGATTCTACCAAACTGAGATATAATGTCACAAGCAAACTCTGATTAAGAAATTGCCTAATCAAATAGAACTTATATATTAGGAATCTAAGTTTTTTGGTTATGTATAGGATATGTGATTCCCATTTTAAATTTTGATCTATGACAATTCCTAAGTATTTTGCGCTATCGGTTCTCTTTATTATTGAGTTAAGACAAATTAATTCATTGAAAATAGGACGATCCGCCTGTGTTTTTGAGAAGGCTATAAAATTTGTTTTATCAATGTTCAATGATAGCTTAAAATGGTTAAGCCAATTTTTGACTTGTTCAATTTCAGCCTGTGCAGATGACTTGACCGCATCCCAGCTCTGCCCATTGAACACGATTACTGTATCATCTGCGTATGAGATTATTTTCCCCTGTATATTGATCTCACATAGATTTTTGAGATATAAATTGAACAAAATTGGCCCAAGTACAGTGCCTTGTGGTACACCAATAAGAACAGGTTCTGGATCACTTATGCAGTCTCTAATTTTAACTGATTGCTCTCTGTTCATTAGATAATTTTTAAAGACCTCTAGCACAATACCCCGGATCCCAAGATGCTCAAGCACATTAAGAAGCTTTTGATGGGGAACCGTATCAAAGGCCTTTGCCAAGTCGAGAAACACTGCAATACACTTCTTGTTATTATTTAAATTATCAGCTATATGGGATATTAGTTCGTGCATAGCATCACTGGAATTTAAACCTTCCATAAAACCAAACTGATTTTTTGGCATTAAGTTATTCGCCTTTAGGTAATCAATCAATCTATCCTTAAGACACTTCTCAAATATTTTAGCTACATTGCTTATAAGGCTTATGGGTCGGTAATTATTAATTATGTTCCGATTTCCCGATTTGTGAATTGGTGTTATAATCGATTTTTTAAATTCTGATGGCACCTCGCCTGTTGAGAAAATTAAGTTAATAATATGTCTAATTGGTTTAACTAAGTATATATGCAATAGTTTGAGATGTTTGACAGTTATGTTATCAAAACCAGGGGCACTGTTATTTTTTAGGCGATATATGTTTGATAATGTCATTTTCTGATACAGGGTTCAAAAACATTGATTTATTTATTGTAGGAATAGAATAATTTATATTATTATCCGGTATGCTATTATGCATATTAATTCCGATAGAGGAAAAATATTTATTAGAATGATTTGCCATGCTCATGTCACTTTCAAATTCATTACCTTCATTGTTAGTTATTTGTATCTTACTATTACATTTACTTGTGGAATTGTTGGTTGCCTCAGCTATAATTTCATAAGTTTTCTTTAGGTTGCTTTTATTCTCATTAATTTTGTCTCTATAATAATCATTTTTTGTTTTTGTTATTAGTCTCTTTAAATTATTTCTGTATGTTTTATAATAATTTTCAAATTCTAGGCAGTGATTTTTTGACAGTTGTTTCTTAAGTTTATCTCTTGTTTTAATTGAGTTCACTAGTCCGTTCTTAATCCATGGCTTTTTTTTTTTTGTCAATCTTTTTGTGTTTTCCCTATGTATCATTTTGCAATCATCAATAATTTTGAGGTATCGTTCATAGAACAATTGTGTGGCTATTTTTGCATTAGGTTCCTCACACACATTAGTCCAGGTTTCAGCATTAAATTTTTCTATCAATCTATCTGTGTTAATTCTAACAACATCTTTGTTACCAGTAGTATTTTTAATTAGTTTTTTGTTTTCAGAAGTGATGTTTATCATAATAGGATTATGATCAGTTAAGTCATAATTAATTACATACGAGTTTAGGTCCAAATTCAGATTTGGCGCCCTCAAGTTATTTCTTATAAATATATGGTCCAGACAAGTTTGACTTATAGGTCTTGTAATAGTACTTACATATGACATAAAACCGCAAGAAAATAATGTTTCCAAGTATTCATTAGTAAAATTATTTGAAAAATTCAATATATCAATGTTTATATCACCTATCAAAATTTCTATATTTTTGTCAAGATTGACACTAATGTAGTTACTCAAATCGTTGATAAATTGCTGTATAGATGTTTGAGGAGACCTGTAGATGCCATTGATTCCGAAACTTATATTATTTACAGTAAATATTGCTCTAATGATTGATATGCCTGACGTCTCAAGCCGTATTAAGTTAACTCCAGCATTAAGAGTAGACTTAATTAGTATCAATACTCCATCATTTTTATTGAGAGTACCATTATTGTAAAAAGTTGTATATCCATTCATATTAAACTCTGCTACTGATTCCAACTGAAAACATTCTGACAATACAATTACATCAGAAAAATTCACATTAAAACTTTCCAGAAACATCAACAACTCATCAAAATTCTTTTTGATGCTTCTTATATTAAAATGTAATACATTTACAATTTTTTCTTCAATATTTATTTGGCTAGCTATACTATGAGCATCCACAGTCATATTAGGAACATTATCCGGAAATGTGTTAAATAAATCGACTTCTTGAATGTTTGTCATTGTGAGTTTTGAAAAAGGTATAAATATAAATAAATCCCAGAAATAAACAAATAAGATATTATTGTTGTTTCTGGTTTATCAATGGGTTGAAAGGATAATCTGTCATATTAATATGCTTTAAAAGTAAATATTTATATGTTTCACACAAACTTTTATCGTTTGCTGCATGGTTAATAGAACTCTTATTATTTTCATTTTTATTCTTATACTTTATGCAGTTAATACATTTAAGATTCTCTTTCTTATTACACATTTTTGTGTTGTGACTTTCAGAGCATATCAAGCAGCAGTCCTCGTTCCTACATTTTTTCTCACTGTGCCCATACATACCACATTTGTAACAGTTATTGATATTAAAATCGTCATAGACCTTACATCTAGTGCAACCTATATAACATTTTTTGTTTCTCATTATTAGTGAATAAGCAATTGGATTAACTTCCATAATAAGGGACCAGCTATTGGATTTTTGACTAAAATACTTGTAAGTAATTTTTATTGGGTTTTCAGAGGAACTATTATTAGGTATTAGTAGATATAAATGGCCGGTTCTGCAACCTCCGTCCTCCGGAGGAGCTTATAGCATGCCTGCATGCGCCATCTATAGGTTCAGTTGCCTATAATACCCCCGGGGGCTATTGTACACTCACTACCTGCCGTATGAGGCGCCATCTAGGTCCGGATACCTGTATAGGTTCAGTTGCCAAAGTTCCCAGGCTCAGGTGATGAAGTTCAATGAAACAACAATTTTTCGGTAAAATTTTATTTAAACGCAAAGAAAATAAAACACAGTAATTCTATGGTGACTCGAACATTTGTTCATGACAGAGTAGATTATGTTCGTTTCTTCTAATGTAGGTATGCTTTTTAATTGAATTTTCGCAAAAGCAAAAACATTTTTGACAAGTATAACAAAAATGTGTATGATCTGGAAAGGCTGTGTATAGATCCGTTGGATAAATTTCATGACTGGTTCTAAAAATCAAAAAAGTGGTAAGTATAATTTTTTCGCAGTTAGGTTAAATTTACTTACATAAAAAACACTCACATAGTCCATTCTGCAAATTCGAAAACTGCAGCTGGTAAAGGTTTCCCAACATTTTTTTCACCTCTGTAAATTAGGGCGGAGCAACCATTAGTCAATTTTTTAATTTCCTCTTGAGTAAAATCATATCTCTTGGGTAGAAAAATGGACTTTCCATCTTCCAATGCAACCAAAATTGAAGGCCCAAATTTTGTATCCATTTTACTA